GTGCCATTCCACATTATTACAAATAACTTCATTTCTGGACATTTATGGTTTGATTTCTTTGTATGTATGGATCACTTGGGTTGTTACCGACATCTGCTGAAAATTTTATGTCATTAGCACCTCTAGTAATATATTTACTGAGAAAAATGGTGACATGTTCAATACTTATTTTACCCRCTGTATACTCTGAGATTAAAAGATAACGACAGTCAGGCAACATGAACAGGCTTCACCCATCTTCAGCTTTTACTGTGTGTTGACCCGCATCCCATCCTCCCATCCAGCTCAGTGTGTGTGCTCTAAGAGTGTGYTTCTTTGCTTCTTTTTTCATCTTGTTTTTTCCTCTCCTGACAGATCTACCAGGAGGACATGATGCGCTCTCTGCTTCAGAATTCCCTCCACGTGTTTCGTGCCATCAGCGGAACGTCCACCGACCTGAGCTGACCCATTTAACCACCACCCACCCGCCTCCTTCCTTCCACAATGTTTATCCCGTCGCTGCTCCCTTAAGGATGTGAACGGAGCGATAACGGGGCAACCGTCTGCCTAAGCTTGCAGAGACGGCCGCACTGGTGAAGACGCCATCAGCCTGTCTGCAGCATCTCTGCTGGATGTTCAGAGGAATGTGTGCAGTGTGCAGAACAATCATTTCACAGCAGCAGTATTTCACAGAATGTATTAAAGCAGCTAAGTGTGTGCATGCTGGGTAAAGCCAAGTTGTAATGCACCTTATGTTGTGTTTTGCCTTGCACGACTTGGTTAGTTCTGCACCGAAGCAATCCTCTGACCTTTGACCTTAGAACCTATGCACCTCTCTCACTCCGATATCAACTCTTCTATTCGAGAGGACTTTTCAAACAAACAGCAGCATCTTAATGTTGTTTATTTTAGGTTGTTTTTTCCAGTGTTTTCTTTGTGTTTGTGTGTTTCAGGTCATTTGTGTCGCAGCAGCAGGCTGTGACAAAGTTCACCAATAAAACCAGTTCTGTTTTGACACATCAGCCGGTGTGTCGTGCGGAGGGTTGGTATTTATAAGCTCGCAGCGCATTCCAGGAAGTCATAAACAGATTGACTCTCTGCAAAAAAAAAAAGAAAGGCAGCTTGGAGAATTTTAAAAKATATAATCGCATTATATCAAACCTTGGGGGGGGGGGGACTGTTAGCAAAAACGATTGCTTTAAACCTTTTGAATTAAACTTAAAGATCTGTTGTTAGTTGAAGGAACGCATATTGTCATACCAGGGTTTTAGACTAACAACAAAGCTGTACATGTTTGGTCAGAAACCACAAAATAATGTTATACACAATCAAATGTGACATCAGGCTCAGCGTATGTGTTGTGGAGGATTCTCAGCAACTAAAACACCAAATTTTGACTCTATATGTCAAATTGCCCAAGTTAAAACCTTTTTTGTGTTTGCTGTGGTCACCGTCTTCAGTTAGATTTTCTCTAAAATGAAATCTGTTGACGTGCGTCCATTGATAACTTTGGTTTTCGTTCAGATTTGTCAAGTGGTTCATGTTGTCCATTTTGCTGACAAATACAGACAAAGCCATTCTTTCACCTGCAGATAATCAAAAGGACTGGGTCCTGAAATATCAGCTGTGTGATCAGATGAATTCAGTTCAGTGAGATGAGTTCCACCCATCTGGGTTCAAATCCAGTGCCTTTGTACTCTGCCTTCTGAATTTTTATTATTTTTTTTAACAAAACCCGTCTGGTTCACAAAGGTATTTTACAAGTGCTACACTGAAATGAGCTGATTAATATTATTTAAGTAGATGTACATGATGTGTAAATTGAATTATGTATGTATATTTTGTAGCTCTGTCTGAAATCAGTCTTGGCAAGAAAGTTTTTTTTTTAATTTTCCTTTTGTTTTTATTGCATTGATTGTGAAGATGGAGCTGCTTGTCAAACTTACTTTGTAAAGTTTTTTTTCCAATAAATGGTAAAAAAAATATATGACCAAGAGAAACAACTATTTCTGTGAAAAATTTGCTGCTCAAGAACCTGAAACTGCATAAAGCTAAAAGAATCCGAATAATAGCTAAAAGGAGCAAAACAGTAGATAAATGCTAAAAATAGCATCGTGGTAATTGGAAAAACAAACCTTATGTAGCAAAGGTATAGTGAAAATGGTAAATGACTTGAACTTATACAGTATAGTGCCCTGTCAAGTCCACATGGACCCCAAAGCACTTTATCCTTTAATCATTCACACACACACACATCCACACACTGATAGTGGTAAGCTACAAAAAAGTAGCTAAAGGAAAGTACCTAAATGTAGTAAAAGGCAAGCTAGAAGTGGCATTATATAGAGAGCAAAGGTGCTTTAGCAGATTTCAAATTKAATTCAATTTAGTTTATATAACACAACAAAAGTACAGAAACATTCACATACATTATAAAACACCAATTGTTGAACTTTATGCCACAGTTCTGAGTATCACATTTACGACAGTGGAAAGGAACGACTCCGGCTGCGGTTTTAGAGAACAGGAACCAAACATAAAATGGCTGGTCCAGGTGCAGTTTCTAATTGAAAGACGAAGAAAACCATGTTAACGATAGAAATAATTACAAATACAAACATGAAAAGCAGAGCCGGTAGAGACAGAGGCAGAGTAAGGACATATGGTCAATTTATGCCTATAGCAGCCCAGGAAACCCAAGAATCAACCTATTTCTATCYGTTAGACAAGGTGACACTCTAACGGACAGAAACTGGTTGATTCTCCAAGAGGGATAACTGAAAGCTAGGTTTTCATGTCTTTGAAACATGCTTGTAATCTATTGGACTTATCAGAGTTAATGGATAAATATGACTGAGGACAGTCAATGAAAATTTATTTACAAATTTTACCTAATGGATGTTATACATATTGTAGTGGTCCGAGTATTAAACCCTGAGGAACTCCACAACTAACTTTTGTGTATGAAGAAAATTTGTTACTGACGTGAACAAACTGGAATCTGTCAGATAAACAGGAGATAAAGTGCCTACATTGTTCAAAGACAAGAATGTTTTGGAAGAAACTGAAGTGATTGTGGTATTTCTAAGGAAAAGTTAMAATTTTAGAAAAGTACAAAAGTTATATAAAAAAACAAGCCATTGCACCCATCTCTTGAATGAGATGAAAGTTTTGATGTATGAATTTCTAAAACAGCCCAGAGCATGTGGAAGTAAAAAAAGTCAAAAAAAGAGAAAAAATGAAAACAATAGTTTGAATTGTTCACACAGATGAGTCATTCCTAAGAATGAAGAGATGAGTTGATCAAATCTGTCCACAGGTTTTATGTGTTCTACATGAGTTCTCTCCACCMTCTACTTTCAACAATGATTCTTTAAAAGGCTCTGAGATTTTCATTATTGCCATAAAAACATGTTTATCTACATAGCTAGACCAAAACCAAAAGCCGTATAGAAGCTTGTGTCTTCTTTCAGAGACAAGCACCTGCACATTCCAGGTGTTTTATGAGAATCTTCTGCTTCTCTAGTTTCTTCATCCATACTCTGCGTTTCAGTCTTGACAGCAGAATTCTTTGTCACACCCTGACGGTTGTTGAAGCTACTCAGATTCGACTGTATTTACATTCTTACAAAATGAGTAAAACCTGTTCTTTGTGCTTGAACAAGTCAAAACACAAACAGGATTAATACGAGCTCTGCCCTATTAAAGATGAGATGCTAAAAGTAAGRTTTATTCAGTGAAGCCTATGCATTAAAGATTTAACACATAATTAAAAGCCCATAATTCCTTTAGGGAATGCATATCTCTGCCTATCAAGCTATGGTTTTAAACTAACATTGTGCTGAAAAGTGATGCTGTTGTAGCTAAAATTGTGAGATGGCTTGTGAATGACAGCTACTACCACACCCGATTTGCTGATTAGCTGTGGACTTGAAATGGATTTAATGTTGATCAGTTGTAGTTCCAATACTCTAGGAAAGTTTAATTAAAATTCATTCAGTGATTTCTGAAACATTTTTGCTAACAAACAGGACTGAATCTGATGGTTATCACTTTCACGCGGTTCAAACTCACGGGTCCGCGGGTAACTCCCCTCTGGCCCGCCAAGCACTGTCTTGCGTTATAATTATTTATTTTTTTCTTGCCAAAACTTTTTTTTGCTTAATATGAAAATAGTCATATCAAAGGTTTAAAAGGTGGAAGATAATAACACTGAGCAATTTAGTTGGATGGCACAGTATTAATACCTAAAAATAAGCTGCTTTACAGCCAGCATTGACCATAAACAATGCATGTTGATTACATGGAAATTCCCTGAAAGATGGGAGAGATCCGAATTTAAGACGGCAGCTATATTCACCACAGCTTAGTGAGTAAAACTCTCCTGCCTTTACTTTTAATAGTATTTATGTGTTTATTTTACATTTAGTCAGTCGTATGACTGTTTATGAGTGTTTATAAGAGGACGGAAAAGGGCAGAGTGCCTTCTCCGGGTCAGGGGGGTCGCCCTGTCTCAAGTGGAGGAGTTTAAGTATCTGGGGATCTTGTTCACGAATGGGGGAAGAACGGAGCGGGAGATCGACAGGCGGATTGGCGCAGCGTCTGCTGTAAAGCGGGCGCTGTACCGGTCCGTCGTGGTGAAGAGAGAGCTGAGTCAGAAAGCGAAGCTCTCGATTTACCGGTCGATCTACGTTCCTACCCTCATCTATGGTCATGAGCTTTGGGTCATGACCGAAAGAACGAGGTCCCTGATACAAGCGGCCGAAATGAGTTTCCTCCGCAGGGTGGCTGGACTCTCCCTTAGAGATAGGGTGAGAAGCTCGGTCATCCGGGAGGGACTCAGAGTAGAGCCGCTGCTCCTCCACGTCGAGAGAAGCCAGTTGAGGTGGCTCGGGCATCTGATAAGGATGCCTCCTGGACGCCTCCCTGGTGAGGTATTCCGGGCACGTCCCACCGGGAGGAGGCCCCGAGGAAGACCCAGGACACACTGGAGGGACTATGTCTCTCGGCTGGCCTGGGAACRCCTTGGAGTTCCCCCGGAGGAGCTGGAAGAAGTGGCTGGGGAGAGGGAGGTCTGGGCCTCCCTTCTGAAGCTGCTGCCCCCGCGACCCGACCCCGGATAGGCGGAAGAAAATGGATGGATGGATGGATGGATGGATGGATGGATGGATGGATGGATGGATGGATGGATATAAGAGGATGTGTTAAAACACTGTTTCTATGCAGGAAATAGAGCCCAGTTATTGTTTATCAGTGCTCACCCGTAGCAATGAGACAATAAACATGATGTTTCATGTTTAGTTGAAGTTAAACATGAAACATTAAAGTTAATTACAACTGGCTTTTTGGAGGCCACCATATGGCCCTTGGTGAAAATGAGTTTGACACCACTTTAAGCTAAAGTCTTGGGCAAAAAATTTCCCTTGGACTATTGTGACTCAGCTACCACACCAAATGTTAGCTCATTTACTAGTTTTATAGCTAATTTAGTGTTGTGTGAGGTTAGTTTGCTGTTGTGGACATCTTGAATTTGGTTGTCCCCAAAAGCTAATCAGTTCTTAACAGGGGTGGTTTTAGGGGCGGGGCCACAGGGGCATTGGCCCCTGCTGAAATCTGGTTGGCCCCCTGAAGTGCCCCTGTCCTGTCACTCATCTGTCCTTAGCCTGGGAGTGACGATGGTGGGTGCAGTTCCATGTCCAAACACTGGTGGCGCTAAAATGTTAGAATTTTTTTCCATTTTATTTAAAGCAATTATATACACCAGTGTTTCCCAAACTTTTTATCTTCTGACCCACAAAATATCCATGGCAAAAAACTTGTGACCCCAAATATTACTGGTCTGAGTACACGAACTTTGTTAATAACCCTAAAAACACAGGCTTTTTGACAATCTAAACAGCTTGTACACAAATATAAATACTTATTTATACTTATTTTGTGTTTTTGTAATAGTTATAGGGAAAATATTACATCGGCAATTATTTTATTACCCTTTAAATTGATTTCTGGAGATTATCCAAGGTGCTTCATGAACCATAATTGGGTTCCAAGCCCAACTTTGGGAACCAAAGTGCAGGTTCCCAAACTTTTCAGCTTTTGACCCACAAAATAACAGTAGCAGAGACCTGTGCCCCCAGCTATTTTTGGATGATAAACATTTGTATCAGGTCAACTGAACATGGGCATAGTAGTGACAATATTTTTATACTACATTTATCCATTTTAAACACACTAACCTCACTCCTTTGTAACAACTAAGGCAAAAATGTAATTAATTGAGAAAATCTTCTCAAGACCCCACCTTGATGTTTCAGGACCCCACKTTGGGTCCCGACCCCAACTTTGGGAAATACTGATATACACAACAGAAAACAAAAGCATACAATCAAAAAATCTAATAAAATGAAAAGCAGCAGAAAAAGAACAAATCTTATAATATCTGCCCCTTTTTATCCCCAGAATATGAAACAAAGCCAAATAGGAATGTCTAGCATAAATCAAGCTCACAGAAGTCTTCTGTTCTTAAAAAAATGTGAACAATCCTGCAAGAGAAGTCTTTCAACTCAGAAACAATGGCTGCATTTTCTCACATGCTGTGTGTTTGAGAGTATTTTATCTATGTACAGTAAAATGCATGTAAAATTAATAAATAGATAAAGAGAACTTACTTTGCAAGTCTTTTTTAACTACTTTACATTAAAGTGTTTGAACATGTGTGACTGGTTAAATGTTTACATCTAACCAAAAACAGGGATTTGTGTGCATGGATGTTAAATCCTTGGCCCCTCTATGAATGCTGTGGTCTCTTACTCAGAAAAATCCTAGATCCTCCACTGGTTGTTAACGTCAACCCAATGATTACTTCATGAACGGTTTGTTAAAATCTGTTGCGTGGTTTGCTAACAGAAAAAAATTCACATGCAGAGGCTGTGAAACATGCCTATTGCATTATGGAAACTAAATTTAAATCAAAATATCACGCACACACACACACACAGTTTGTATTTCTATACTTATTAGTACCGTTCATTGACTTCCATTACATTTCTACAGCCTAACCCTGACCACAAACCCTAAGGCTAACCTCAMAGGTACCTACCTGACCCTAAAACTAACCTAAACTCAATTCACACCTTGGTCCTAAACCCAACCTTCAACCCACCAATGGAGTTCCACCGTATTAGTACCGGTCTTTGGTCCCCATCAGGACTACTGGTCTTGACAAGGTGGGTGCGTATACTGGAAAC